AACCCATGGTAATAATAAACTCTTTAGGATTTCTTTAGGAAAGTGATTTCTTAGTGATTTCTTTAGGAAGTGTGCGAGAAACTCTCTTCTAACAAGCATCCTTGGAATTTCTCTGCAAAGAGAACAAATAAAAATGTAGCAGTAGGAGGCGCAGTTATATTGAGAGGCAGGACTTACAGGTTTCAAAACAATGTCTCGCAGGAGAATGTGGATAATACAGTTGGTACTTTTACAGGTGTAAATATTTACATCTTTTCTAATTTGATTGCTTCATTCATATCACCTATACTGAACAGGGCTAATCTTTTCTCATCTACCAGATAATTCATTGCTGTCTAAAGTAAACTAATTTGTCAAATGGATGATCCATTTAAAATATCCATTTTCTTACTATTTAGTCCATAAATGATAAGTCTCTGGCCTTTGGGAACACTAACCCTCTCTCCTACATTGTTAACTATACACAATACAGTGAAGTTCCACCCACTCTCTCTGTGGTGTGAGGGGGCCTGGATAATGCAGTCATTGACTCATCCTCAGGACACCTCTGCCGGGCACACAGTCTTTGTTAGAGGATCCGGATGTCACAAAAAGATGCTGAGCTGACTCCCCAGGCCATGGTCCACTGAGGCATCTGGTCTCTGTGCAGGACTGCACTTGAGGCCTTTGCAGGGAATGCAATCTGCTCTCGCTGCCAGTAGGTATTTTTCAAAAGAGAAATTCTGTCTGGCTTGTGGGAAGCATGCAGTTCACCCATTTTAACACAGTTTTTCAGAGATGTCATTTTAACGTTTCTTCCCTTTCTTTATCTTTTTTTTTCTTTTAATTGATATAATATAGTATCTTCATGTAACCTTATGATATATGGTACAGATAAATACATGTACCTTGCCCTAAATTCAAGGACAATGTTTTCCATTGCAAAACTCTGTTCCATATAAATGGAGGTGCCATTAACATTCTATTCTTCATAAATGGTGCTCCCTGGAGCACTCCATAAGCACAAAGCATGCAGATTAGAATGTACCTGGTGCTTTTGCAGTTGAGCAGTGAGTGCTGCCAGCCTGGGTCAAGGAATCTTTATTCCTACCTAACCTTTAACCCACCATACACTTTCAAGACTCTGAGCTAGGATTGAAGTTTTATTATTAAATCCTATCCTTTCTTTGTATCACATGATGTAATAGGTATATCTTACTTAATCCATTAGATCATAGAAGACATTGATGTCTTTGAAATGTTTAATAATTCCAAATTATACATTGCAACCAATCTCATGTCTGCTGGACTAGGATGAGTCAATGCGTAAAAGAGGAACCAGATGGTCCTGATTGGTCCTGATTTGTCCTTGAGGGCCTGGCCAAATGGACCCACCCCCTTGCATCTCACTTTCTCTGTATATAAAATGTATATAGAATGGGAACCAAAGTGCCAGACCCACAGTTGTCTTAATAAGAGACCATGATGTGAAGCATTCTCTGATCTCCTCCTTCGTATAGGTGATTGCCATCCAGGGCAGGATGTTGTTTGTTGTTATTTTCCCAGCATGTTGCTGAGGAAAGGAGACTTCAATAAGTGGGAGGGTTCTTTTGGAGAGATCCTCTACCTTGCACATATTTGAGCCTTGTCTGTGCATACTGTTAGTTGGAATAGTAATGTGTGTGTTAATAATTTAAGCCGTTTCCCTTCCCTTCTCGATCTCCACACAAGCTGCTCAAATATTCAAGAAACAAGGTTTGTGATTATATGACAAAAACTTATCACATTTTTCTGCCCAGCATATGTTCTAGAGTTTTTGTGCTAATCAGCAATTGTATATCATTTTCACAACCAACCAAAACAAGGTCAGGGGCGGGGGAGATTTCATTCTTAATCTTGTCCTGTCAAATACTTCTATTTATTCACTGCTCATCTGTTAGATAAATTTTCCATGAAGGCAATATTTTAAAAATTAATAATGCATAAATACTAAGGTGACTGAATTATGGATCCTGGGCAATAGAATATTCACTTATCACACAGAAAGTTTCAGCTTTTATTTTTAACTAAGTTTTTCTCAGTGTGGACTTCTGCATTGCTCAAGAGGAAGCCTAAACACATACATTACATAACTTTACTAAGTTAACTAAAACCAGTTAGACATTTTTAAATCTCAGAAGTGGTATAACCAAACAACATAGTCTACACAAAGACTGCAAAAATTCAATACAGAGCGAAAACCTTTGCAAGACAATGATGTAAATAAATTCTGCTTTTACATGGTTATTTGCATATTTATTCTACATAATACCTAAGACATAAAAAAGAAGTCTGAGACATACAATCTGGACTTCTGCATGCTAATATGAAGCAACAACCTAGAAATAATGATACAACAGTTTGTCCAGTGATTTAGAAAGCCAAGGTGACACTTAAATACTGGGTCCTATTTAATCACACACACGCCATACTAGGATGCCAACCACGCCTCACTGTGGACAACACAGCGCTGCCAGTCCGTATGTTCCTCCAGGGGGCATCACCACAGATTCCAGGGCAGCTCCAGGTCCATCTGTGGTACGGATGAAGCAGTGGACTGACGGATCACTGGGCTCTCCCCTAGCTGTGTCCAGAGGGTGTCAAAGTACAGTCACTGAGTTTATGAGGACAGATGAGGTTTCAAATCCAGATGATTGCACCTGGCTGTGTTTCTGGCCAAATGTCCACTTTACTCTTTGTCCATCACCTTAAACGATGCGGCAGTTACTCTAAGCTTAAAACTGTAATTTTAAAAAATTACAGAGGATTCACAAAAGAATTTTGTGAGTCAGAAAATCAATGAAATGTTTCCAAGAAATGTGAAGGATACTACCATGAATTCCAAGAGGCCTCTGAGGCCCACTAGCAGAGGACTGTTCAAATGCCATGATGTCCATCGTCCAAAATGCACTGGGCATGAAACACTATATTTTGAACAATTTTCTATTATTGGCCACCCAAGGTAAAGGTTTCTAGATTTACATTTTCTAAACTGATAGCTATGAATTATCTCATTGTTCCTAATAACTCTGAGAGCTAAGGTAGCAATTCTCATTTGCCAAAATCAGAGTGGAGGTTTGCCTTCCCCCACTCAAGGAAGAATTTTTCTCTTCCATATATGTTTTAAAAGGTATTTTGAACTTCAATAATTGAGAAATTGATTAATGCCCATCAAACTAAGTAAACAAAGCCTACTGGCAACACTCATACTCTTTCTCACACTTAACACTGAGCCATAGGAAACAAATACTTTTAGAAATTTTCACTCCTGTTTGAAATTCATCCCAAAAAAAAATACCTTTTAAAAAACTGTAATCTGCAACCCTATATAGTTTGGTTAAGGCTCTGCCCTCACGTCTGCTGTGTAAACTGCAGATGGTTGGGCAAACCCAAGTGTCAGCCCTCTCTCTCAATCCACTTTTGTCTCCCATAGTACAGATAAAACAAAGGTAGGGTGCTGGCCGGTCTCCCTCGTGATTCCAGAACCAGATATTTACCAGGTTCACCAGACGACCAGCTGCTGTCTGGGACTAAGGAACAAAGCATGCTAACCCATTGTTCCCTGTGGAAAGAAACCCAGTAAAGGGAAATACGAGAATTTCAATCATTTCAGCTTTCTGGCTCTCCCTAAGGCGAAAGGGATGAAGAATACGAAGAGAAGGGAACGAAGGAATGGATACGCATTTCTTTTTAAATCTCATTCGCTCCTCATACAAACTTGTGAGATTACGACGTATATATTTATAAAGCTCTCAGACCTGAAAAGCAATACACAAAGAACGGCAACGAACTGATTCAAGTACGAGAGGTTAACGAGGACAAAGGGGCATGGGGTAGTGAAGTCCTCTATGGAAAGAAGCGCTGAAGAGTAACCAACCGGTGTAAAGGGCAGTTTAGACAGCGTGCTCAACTGCAAACACGGCTCTATTTTAGGACGCTCAGCACTGGGCAGCTGGCTCCGCAGGGGGGCGCCGGAACCGCGCGCCTGGGCTTCTAGCGTTTCCCGGGCGGGCCCCGCGGAGCCTAGGAGTCGCTGAGCGTTTTCAGGTGAGAGCAGGGTAGGAAAGGGGAAAGGCAAAGCAAGAAGAGGCTGGGACAGGAGGGGAGAATTATCACTATTCTTATCACTATTGTAGGCAGTCACCCAAAGCCTCCTTCACCCAAACCCCACGCCTCCGCCAGGCGCGCGCGCGCGCGCGCGCACACACACACACACACACACACACACACTCACACTCTCACTCTCTTTCCCTCCCTCTGCCGGGCCACCCCGAGTTGTTCTGTTTTCCGCTGTCGAAGAGTTTCGGGCGGCCTCGTCAGACATCCCCGCGCGCTCCACTGGACCTCGCGCACCTCGGAGGGGTGGGCGCGGAACGCACGCGCCTTGACCTTCTCCAGTGGTTACAGAGGGAGGAGGACTAGGGGATCCGGCCAGGCTGTTGGCCAGCTTGAGCAAAAGCACAGATAGTCTCTGCTGGGAAATCGAAGAAGCAAAGTGCAGAGGCGAGCGCGGAGGTGCCCTCGGCATCTTTGGGCATCTCCCCTGGATAGCGCCGAGGGCTCTACCTAGAGCCTGGGTTGCGGACGGCTCTGGCGGGAGTAGGGGAAAGGGGAACGGAAATGGAGTTCCCAGCAGTACTGCCCCACCTCCTTACTCCCCACCCGTGTCAAGTTCGGGGGTCGATTCCGTGTCCTTTGGCATTAGGGAGCGATCGGTGTGCGCTCTCAGCTCCAATGGTCCTCACACGGTGTGCTCCTGCGTCACCTGGAGGGCTTGGCGAATTCAAATTGCGGATGCAGCCACACGCGTTCGTTTCACTAGGTCTGAGGCGGAGCCCGAGTATCTGCATCTCGAGCAAGTTTCGGCGGGGGGAGGGGGAGACTGCCGCTGAAAGACCGTACCTGAGGGCCGAGGGCGCCGGCTCCTCCTGCGCGGGCCCGGGCTGGCGGTGCCGGGGTTGGGGAGCAGGGCGTCCGGGGGCTCAGGCGGCGGCGCGGCACGCCAGCAGCTGGCGGAGGCTCCTGCGGAAGCTGTCGTCCAGGAAGGCGTAGAGGAAGGGGTTGAGGCAGCTGTTGGCGTAGCTCAGGCTGGTGATGAAGTAGGAGACCGCGATGACGGCCGGCGTCTGCGGGAGGTCGGTGGTGAGCGCCACCACGGTGCTCAGGTGGTAGGGCGTCCAGCAGAGGAGGCACACGACGAGGATCGCCACCACCAGGAGAGTCACCCGCTTCTTGGCGCGGTCCAGGGCCTTGGCGTGACTGTCGAGGCGTATGGCGCGCAGCCGGCACAGCAGGGTGGTGTAGAGGACGCAGATGGTGGACACGGGGATAGCGAAGCCGAGCACGAGCGTGTAGAGGCGGCTTGCCCGCCACCAGAAGGCCTCGGGCTGCGGGAAGACCAGCACGCACTGGCGCCGGCCCTGCTCGTCGTCGAGCCGGGCGAAGACCGCGAAGGGCAGCACGACCAGCGTCACGAGCCCCCACACGGCCAGGCTCACGGCGCGCGCGGCGCCGTACGTGCGGCCGGCCACCCGGCGCGACTCCGCGGTGGCCAGCACCACCAGGTAGCGGTCGGCGCTCATGACCACGAGGAAGTAGAGGCTGGAGAAGGTGTTGTACTGGTCGATGGCCACGATGAGCTTGCACACGAGCTCCCCGAAGGGCCACTGCTGCAGCAGGAAGTCGGCGATGTTGATGGGCAGCACGAGCGTGAAGAGCTCGTCGGCGATGGCCAGGTTGAGGATGAACACGTTGGTGACAGTCTTCATGCGGGGGGCCCGCAGCAGCACATACAGCACGGCCGAGTTGCCCGCCAGCCCCACCGCGCAGATCACAGCGTAGACGACTGGCACGGCCACGGCCAGCGGCAGCGGCGGCGGCAGCAGCGGGCCCGACGCGTTGGGGCAGCCCGGAGCGATGCCGGCGCACGACACGTTGGAGAACCCCGGTTCCGAGAACGACGCATTGTGCATCTCGGCGAGGACAGGGGGGCGGGCGATCCCGTCCCCTCCACCGCCGCCCTGCCGGGCTCTGCCGTCCCGAAGCCCGCGTCGGCGCGGAGGCCGCGCCGCGCTCCAAGCCCTTCGCCCGCCTTTCCGCGGGAGGCGCGTTCCCGGCCGCCCGCTTCGCCCACCGTCGCCGCGGGCTCCGGGGGCTGCAAAGCAGAATTGAAAACACAGGTCAGGTTTGTCGACGTGCAGCTTTCGGGAGAGGTGCGGTTCCGAGGGGAGCGGGAGGCGGCGCGGCACCCCAAACCTGCCCCACGTGATCACTCTCTGCTCCTTGTTGAAATTTTATTCTAACCAGTTGAATACATCAAACAAAGTGCTAGAGAGAAAGAGTTCTTATCCTTTATAAGAAAAATATGAACCCATCTCCCCTGCTTTAGGATCCCCCTGGCCGAGCCGAGTCACCACAGCGAATTCTGCGGTGGCAAGTTTCCGTCTCCCTAGGTTCCGTGCGCCCTCGGTAACAGCAAGGTCAACAGCAATCTCCACCTCACCTGGCTGGCCCAGGGAAAGGGTCTGCCTTTTCTGGAGCGGTCCGGAGAGGAGGCTGCTGGCTGCTGGGGAGACTGCCGCACGGGACAGCTGAGTGTCCACCTCTCCGCCTCTGCCAGAAGGCAGCAGCTCTCGCCTCCGCGGGTCCAGCCCGCGCGCCAGGAAGCTTAGGGATGGCGCAGCCGCGACTGCGCTCCGCCAACCCGCCCGCCGCCCCCCGCCCCCAACCCCCACCCCAGTAAGACAGCCTCGAACAGAGAACAGCATTACTCACAAATTAAGGAATTCTTTCTTCTTTCCAGTAGTGTAGGCTTACTCCATTTGAATTAATAAAAAGCTCTCCTGTTAAGAATTAAATTTAAGAAAAACAAAGTTAGGATGTTACTGGTCTATTTTAAAAGAACAACGCAATCGAAGCTCCCATTTCATTTTTTAAACACCATACCCCAAATAGGCTAATGTAATTTTGTTTTAATGTAATGTAATGTAATGTTAAATTTTAAGTTACATTCATTCTACATTTCTATACAGAAGGGAAAAGTGAATGCAGTTTTAAAATGTAAATCACTTGTTTTCTAATAGTCTTCTTCACAAGTTTACAAGACTGTTAGTAACAAACAATGGTCGACAATTTGAGATACTTTAGGCTTTCTAAAAATATATGTACATAGTGACTTTATTAACAAAATACAGACTGCTTCTGATAGCCTTTAGGGTGCCATGACTTAATGTGTATTGTTTCATAAAATGTTGCAAGTTGTTTAACACTGTGCTGGTTCTCGCACACACGTTCGTGTTTTCCTGTAGAGAAGTACCCTGCGGTCGCAGCGGTGCTGTCAAGCGAGGCCGAGCGGGGGCTCACCCGTCTCCAATGTCGCTCTCTCACTCAGCCCCGAGTTCTTCCCCTCCCCGGGGAACTCGCCCTAGGCGCCTCACGTTTGAGGACTGAATGAAATAAACTAAATATTGGTTCTCTCCAATAACTATTTTCTTCCTCCACCTTCCCTTTGGAGGCAGCAAATTAAAACACAGGATTCTATACCGCTACGCTCTAATAAATTTCCCTTCCACAAGAGCAGGCAAAAGCCCAGATAAAGCGCATTTTTGGCCCTTTATGATGCATTTTTAGAGGAGAGGGGCTGAGATACTAGGAGACTGGAATCAGCCAGTGGAAGAAGCCCTGGGGGCAGAAGTACAAGCGCTTTCCTCTACCCGCTCAATTCCCTTCACCAGGGTCTACACAAATCTGCCTCCCCTGCAGTTTCCTGCTTAGTGTGAAAAAAATGACAGGAAAGTCTTAGGCTATGTCCGTGAGAAAAAAATATGTGAGAAGACACCATATAATGTTAAATGAAACAAAAAAAAAAGTACATATATATATAATGCACATATATACACATATATGTATATCTGTGTGTATGTATGTATGTGTATAGTATGTATATATGTATATAGTTTCTTTATTTTCAAACATTTGGAGATTCTCTAGCTTTTTAATTATTGATTTCTAGCTTAATTACACTGTGGAGAGAGAACATAATATGATTTCTATCCATTGCCATTTGTTGAAATATTGACCAGTATATAGTTATTTTTCCAATTATTTCATGTATACTTGAAAATAATGTGTGTTTTGTATTTGTTGGGTGCAAAACTCTACATATGTCAACTAATGAAATTTATTATTGTGTTGTTTAAATCTTCTCTCTGTTGGTGTTTTTATCTGATTGGCTTTATCATTACTGAGAGAGATTTGTTAAAACATATCAATTGATGACTGTGAATTTCTCTATACTTTTAATTCTGTCAACTTTACTACATAATTTGATCCTGTTTTATTAGGTGCATAAAAATCTAAAATTGTTATATTTTCCTGTGGAATGTACTCTTTTATCATTATGAAATATCCTTCTTTAACTGGGTTACTGCTTCTTGCTGTATGTAGTCTCCTTTGTTTGATATTATTAAAGCTACACCAATTGTATTTCCCTTAGTATTATCATGGAATATCTTTTCTTAAATTCTTTTACTTTAAACCTTTCTGTGTCTTTATATATAAAACATGTCTCATGTAAGCATTATAAAGTTTTTTTAATCCAGTCTGACAATATTTGTCTTTGGAGTATTTAGTTCATAATGTATAATGGTTGTAGATAATATCAGTTAGTTATAGTTATAAATCATATTAAGGTATACTTACTATATTATCTTTTGTTTTCTATTTCTCCTATCTCATTTCTGTCCCTTTTTTCCTTTCTTACATTCTTTTGGATTAAAATTAATTATTTATTCTTCAGTTTCCACCACTTCATTAACTTATTAGTTCTACATGCTTTTATCATTCTTTGAGAGGTGTAATCCTAGAGATTATTATATGTATGCTGGATTTATTAAAGTCTAACCTAAATTATTACTTTTACAACCTCCCAAAAATGCAAGGACTTTTAACACTTAACCTCCGTTTACTGCCCTCCTCCTTCTGAGCTACTCTTAACATGTATGTTAAATCTACATATACTTTCAACCCTACAGAACATTGTTATTATTGTTTGAAATAGTCAATATGCTGTCATATGTACCCACATATTTGTATTTCTGGTGCTCCCGATTCCTTCTGCATTAATTTCCTGCCATCTGGTATCATTTTCCTTATAATTAAACAACTCCCTTAATATTTACTTACTATTCTGCTGATGATAAACTCTTACTGTTGTTGTTGTTCTTCTTTTTGCCTGAAATTTCTTTATTTCCTCTTCATTTTTGAAGGATGTTTCACTGGATATGAAATTCTAGATTTTCAGTTGTTTTATTTCAACAGTTTCGATAATATTCCAATTTCTTCTTGCTTCCATTGTTTCAATTAGAAAAGTGGTTTCCTGTCTTACAGTAGCTCTTTTGTAGGTGATTTTCCTTTTTTCTGTAATTGTTCTTTAATTATGGCTTTGATTTTGTCTTTCAGAAACTAAACTATGATGGTCTAAAAGTGATTTTCTTTTCATTTAACCAGGTTTTGATTTTTAGAGCTTCTAAAATCTGTGACTTGATTTTTTTTTTTCAAGTTTGGAAAATTCTCAGCATTCTCTCGTCAGAGTTTGGTTCTGTCTCATTCTCTCTCTTTTCTCCTACTGGGGCTCCAATTATGTGTGTATTAGACCTTCATGCTTTTTTCTGTGTTTCTCACCCTTTTTCCTCTCTGCACTTCAATCTGGTCCTCTAAATCCTGACTTTCTTGGTTGCTCTGCAATGCCTTCAATTTAGTCTTTTCTCAATTTCTATGGTGGTTCATAACAGGAGGGTTTATGTGATACAGGCTACTTCATCGTAACTAGAAGCAGAAGTTAATATATAAAATTTTCTATACTGTACAACACCAAATTAAAAAATATATGTGTATGTTTCCATATAGATAATTATGTGTTAAGTATGTGTAATTATGGAAGGATGTACCCCAAAATGTTAAAACTATTTCAGCAGGATGTGAGTTTGGTGGTAATTTTCATTTTCTTTGCACTTTTCTGAATTTCCAAAACTTTTTTTATAGGGAAGATATATTACTTTTATAATAGTAAAAAATCATATTTATAAAAATCACCATAATAGTACTTTGTGGTCCTGAAATCCTGACTACTGAGAAGAAATTAAGAATATATAAGGAAGGTATTTCTTCCAGTACTTGTGAAATTACTATAATCACTAAAAATAGTGAATAAATAGATATATAAAGTAAACATTTATGTAGAAAACATGCCTTGTATATTCTGAAGTTCACCCACAAGATTGCCAAAACAGAGATTTTTCAATAGCAGTTTGTACTGCTTAAACCAATTTTTAAATTAGTAACAAAATGTTTAACTCAACCACCTCTTATTTTGAAAAGTATGTAATTGGATATTTGAATGTTGAATATCTAGTGTAATCATCATATCTTAGTTTAGTGCTGCTGTAACTTCCAAAATGATTTTTCCTTGGCCTAGAAAAAAATTTATTCAAGGCAAAAATCAAAAGTAGAAACATTAAACTCATAATACTTGTCATAGTAAAAGACTGAATGTTTTCTCCCTAAAATCATCAACAGGAAAAGGATGTCTTCTCTCAACACTTCTATTCAACCTGGTACAGGGGGTTCTAGCCAGTGCAATAAGGAAAGAAACAGAAATAAAAGATATCCAGATTGGGGACAAGGAAGTAAAACTGTCATTATTTGAAGATACCATAATTGTCTATTAAGAAAATCCCATGGACTCTACAAAAACACTACTAGAACTAATAAATGAGTTTAGCAAGATTGCAGGATACAAGATCCATAAAAAAGTCTATCGCATTTCTATATGCTAACAATGTATAATCAGAGATTAAATTTCTTAAAAAATACCATTTACAATAGCATCAAACAATATGAATACTTAGGAATAAATCGTACAGAAGATGTGAAAGACCTATACACTGAACATTACAACACACTGTTTAAAGAAGTTA